ACTGATAAGAGAAGGTCGATGATAACAGCCTTTCAAAACCTGTAGACTGTAAGAGTTCTGGAAAACGCGGCTGTTAGTAAGACTTGGGTAGACCTCTAAGTTGGAAGGGACAAGAGGCAGTCCACACTTCACTCAGTGGATTTGAAGCCAGTGACTCAAGAAAATAAAGAACCTAATTGGTCTCATTTCACAGGTACATTAGGAGAACGCTGCTGTTCTCCCAATTCTTTGCAATGGTGGCTAGTGAAGAAGAGAGACATGCCCCTGCAGATAGGTGGGGAATTCCTTTTCTTAAGCAAGTCCACTCTGATTTCTCCACTCGTTAAAAATTCTGGAATTTCTAAATCTCAAAATTTTACAAAACCTCAACTCAAAATTCAGGAATTATTTTCAGTGAAGTGCTCTCAAGGTCAGGAGATCTTTCACACCAGGCAGAATTGAAATAGACAAAATTATTTATATAAGCTGGGAAAATCCAAGACAAATTCTGGAGGAAATTTGTTCTAACAATTACTTCTCATTTATATGTTTGAAAAATACAAGCCAACCCTTAGGGTTTATTAACCCATGGAGCAGAGAACTTCCACTTACAGAGTATGAAAGGTATGTACAAATGTGAGCATGGATTCAGCAACATGCACTTAAATACTGCTACAACTGCAGACAACAGAGTATGCCACTGTAAAGCCCGTAATTAGTCACTAGCTTTTTTACCCAGTGGGCTCAAATCAAGAGCATCAGGGCAAACAAATTTTTAACTTCTGGCTCCAAGTACTTCATCAGTTCACATCGTCTCTTTCGATTTAGTGACTCATCCTGCTAGTTATTTAGACACACAACCACCCACAACCCATTAGCAAACACCTTCGAGAGGCAAAAGGAGGGACAAGTCTAAACAGAGTTGGGAAGGCATTTACCCACACAATTTTACCTCCTCCTTCATTAATAGTTCTTCCTTCTCCTCCCTCTGTTTTCAAAGACAGCATTAGACAAGGGCTGCCAGGTAGGAGGTGAGCCATCGCTGCATCTCCCATGAGGTTAGGGCCCCTTCCAGGACTGCATCTCCTGCACACACACACTTGGAGTCTCAGTTAACTCCCACCCCCTACAGTCTCTCTGGCAGCTGACTGTGACTCCCCTGGTGCTCCCTTTATGCCTCTATTTTCCTATGCTTTTTACTTTGCAAGTCACCCTCACCCCTTTCTTTAGATCCTCCCCTAAACATCCCATATTAAGTCTTATGCAAACCCCAGATGCTCACCCCTCACATGCATTAATAATACATCCCACACCTTTAGCAACTCCCTCTCCACCCTCCTCTGCTCCCACTCACTTGTTGGGTGGATGTCACCCTGGGCTCACCAGGATTACAGTTCTCCTAGGTCAGTCCTGGGGGGAACCAGGGCAGGGGATGATTTGAGCTCCCTCCCTGCCCTTGTGCAGCTGGGGTCCCTCATATATGTGTGTGATGATGAGCTTTTTATCATGTAACCTACCACAAAGCAATGCCAACCTCAGAAGAAGAGTCAGACCCTCATTCTCCATCCACACCAGGTGTGCATAGATCATTTGGTGCTCCTGGTTTCCAGCCACAACCTGTACAGTAGGAAAATGACTGCAGATTTAAAACCCACTCTTGGTACTACATATATAGATCAACACCACTGCACAAGTGAGCACACAGTCTATACCAGATTTAATTACGTTGCAAACTTCTTCAGGGTACAGCCATGGTGAAGCTTCTCTCTCTTTCTCCCCACCCCACCTCAGGAACATTTTGCCAAAAAAGGTTCTATGAATTCCAGTGAACTGTGGTACTCAACTGTCAGCCACGATGTGAAACAGGAAGCCTCTGTGATTAACACCGATAATCAGACAGAATATGCATTTGTCAATGTGCCCAAGAAGAAGACAAATACCATCAGGACTGAAGAGCACAATGAATATGATTATGTCATTATAACTTAGACAGGGACACTTTCTCCTCCCAAGTCACTCTTTCACCCGAACGTTTAAGCCAGCAGTAAGCAGCCTTGCAAAACACCCTACCTCTGCTGTCATGTCTTCAAACCAACATCTCTCTCTCATTACCAAGCTTAAACATTAGGACACACCTGCTGGTCATTTCCAATTAGACAAACCTGTCCATGAAAAGGTGATCAGAGAAAGAGGATACAGGACTTGATGATTAAAGCAAGAGGCACCAGCAACAACCGCCATTGTAAGACAATGTTTCTCCATAGAAAATTAAGTGCTTCATTACCAGAAGCAACTGAGGCTGTATATTTTTCTGGACTTTTATAGTAATTTTTTTTTTAGAGAGGAGTCTTATAGAACTACTAATTGAAACCTCCCTAAAATGCAATAATAATATCCCTTATGTTGGTTTTGTTTGTTTTCTTTTGGGGGGAAGGAGGGGTCAGGCTTGTGTTTAAAATGGAAGGCATAGACCCTGTGCTAGGTGCACTTATTCTTTTCTAAAGTTTCTCTGGCCTGCTTGATATATACCATTATATATACCATGACACAATGTACAATTTAGATAAATAACTCATTTCTCAAATTGCCCCCCAAGCCCTTTTAATGTAATCGGCTTGAGAATGAAGTCTTAACAAATTTGGAATTAAATTTTAAAAGGCAACAAACTTCACGCAAAGCAAAAGTTCCAGCTGCTTCACATCACTGCCCCTTAGAAGACTATAAAAGCAATGAAGACCGCGATGCTGCACGGGAGTAACTGCACACCTCTCAGTAGAAGTTTCCCAGGTGTTGCTTTTGTGACACAGCGCTTCCAGCTCGCTCTGCTGGAGTCTCAGAACCTGGCTCTCTGCAATGACAGAACATCACCTCTCCATAGCCCACCACCCCTCTGCAAACAGCGTTTGTGGACACAGAATCAGAATCACAGAATCTTCTAGGCTGGAAGGGACCTTAAAGATCATCTTGTCCAACCATCAACCTAACTGACAAAAATAGACACCCACACAACAAACAAGGAGCATCATCACTAAACCATACCTCCCAGCACTACATCAACCCGTCTTTTGAACACCTCCAGGGATGGTGCCTCAACCACCTCCCTGGGCAGCCCATTCCAATGTCTGATAACCCTTTCAGTGAAAAAATTTTTCCTAATATCCAGCCTGAACCTGCCCTGGCGCAACTTGAGGCCATTTCCTCTTGTCCTGTCGCCTGTGACTTGAGAAAAGAGACTGACCCCCATCTCTCTACACCCTCCTTTCAGGTAGTTGTAGAGAGCAATAAGGTCTCCCCTCAGCCTCCTCTTCTCCAGGCTGAATAACCCCAGTTCCCTCAGCCTCTCCTCGTAAGACTTATTCTCCAGACCCCTCACCATCTTTGTCGCCCTTCTCTGGACCCGCTCCAGCACCTCAATGTCTTTTTTTATGGTAGGGGGCCCAAAACTGGACACAGTACTCAAGGTGAGGCCTCACCAGTGCTGAGTACGGGGGGACAATCACCTCTCGGGTCCTACTCGCCACACTGTTCCTGATACACCTGCAGAGGACTGCAACCTGCTATTCAACTGTTCACCAGGGCTCTTAAAGCCATTACATGCCTGTGCTCTTGCTTAAGCATGTTTGTTTGGTGGTTTGGGTTTTCTTTTGCTCCCTCCGTTTTTGTAATAAAACAATTTGGAAGAAAACGTTGAATGGTTTTCCTGGTTTTAAATCTTCCTTGGCATGTGATGGCTGGCTGTAGCCCTGGCTTTACAGCCTGGTGCCTTTGTGCATCCTGCTGTCAGTTCTGGTGCCGGGGGTGGTCCCATGGGTGACTGGTTGCACGCAGCAGTGGAGACACACCGTTAGCTACCACAGCTACGGCTGTGGGGACAGGCAGCTGCATCTGCCCAGGAGTTGTACTGGCTGCTGTGGCTACACGGACCACTGCCTGCCACGGGATTCTAAGGGCTGCTTGTAGAACCCACAAGCTGAATAACTAGAACTATCTTTTCTGCTCCTTTTTAAACATGGCTCAGTTGCCTCAGTCATCTTTGTATTACCCACACTCCTTCTATAGAAATTAACATTAAGCATTCACAAAATATCTAACTTGGTGAAATAATGTGTTTTCAAACTACTTTGTCCCTACTAGAAGAGGTCATAATGAAGTCATCTGGCTATTTTTTTTTTTACATTTTTTTTTTTTACATTTTTTACATCAATTTACCTCAAAGAGATAAAACTGGGCACCACTTTCTGTGTGTGTTTGGGTTTTTTTGTTTTTTTTTTTTACTTTTCCTTCAATTATAGTTCAAAGTATGACTGGATGTAAACTGTAAAAATCAGACATTTCCTGCTGAATATCACAACATCTTGCTACAAGTCCACCTTCCTCTTTCTTGTGAATTGGCGGGGTAAAGGTACAGGGGCAGAGGAGAATGGCTGGAAAAAAAACGAATGATCAGCACCTTTCTTTTTTCTGTCAGCTCCTAATGCACATAGAGGTATCACCATAAAGAAGCATAAACATTATATTATTTTTCAATTCTTAGAACCAGAATCAAGATAAAGAAGTGTTCAAGGACAGATTCAGTCATCTTACAGCAATAGGATCAAGCAGCACCTCAAAGGCAAACCATTTCTTTGTTGCTGGTATTTTCATAGCTTGCTGCTCTTGGGACAAACCACACAAACCACCAATTTTTTCCTTCCCCACTGTAAGACTCGGAAGAAATATGTCTTCTAGTTGTATCCTGCACATAATATTGCACCAAAAGAAATTATGGTTCTTACAGCCGATGCTACATATTATAAATCAAGAAGGAGTGAGAATTAGCCACAAATGAGAGAGCCATGTGAACTATTAATTTGGTCCAGGCTGTTTCCCAGGTTCAGTTAAAACTCACACCACAACAAATACGGGTTTGAGTGTAACAGCCGTGTCAGACATTTCATACAGCTCTCAGCACTTAGAATTCTGATGGTTATTTTGCAACTCAAACTGAAAGACTGGAGCTGCTGAAGAATGAAAACAAACACTTTAAGAGTAAAAATAAATATTTTAATGCATAGTAAAATTGTCATATTACTCCTTAAATAAACCAGTGATAGTAGAAAAAGAGAAACAATTTCCCGTAAGATATTTCTCGCAATACAAAAGGTTTCATAAAGTATGTTTGTCTGTCCAACTGTACTAGCAGTTATACTGGCTATAAACAAATAACAAGAAGCTACACTTCACTAACATGGCAGTGAATCCATCACATTCTGTCTAAAGTTAATGCTTGTTTTTTAATTTTCATGCTACAATCAATTACTGGCTATAACTCCCGTGTCACACAGGACTATATGGCCTGCTTCTGGACTTTCCTTTTGGCCCTGGTCATCTCATCTGATCTCTTGTAAACAAGAACTATTTGCTGCCTTATTAAGGCAAATATCTTGCACCTGTTCATTTTTATCCCCCCTGCAGGGGCAGAGAGTGTAATTAGGGTATAGACTAGTTTCTCTTTGAATTTACAAATACACATCAAATAACTGTCTTTTTACAAGTACTAGTGGCTAATTACTAAAGCACACAGCTAATGTGGCCCTTTCAAGATTCCTGTTGCATTCAGGTGCATTAATGAACAAGACATGTTTCTTCCTTCTTCATTTCTATTTCACATTACAGAATATAAAAATAGAATAGATACCCAGGAAGACTGTAGGATGAACAAAGGAATGACGGTTAAGAAGCAAAGGTCTTGCATGCAATTAGAGAGAATAGGAAGTATATTTAAGTTTTCAGGCTGTTTTGTGAGGGACATGGTGTAGGGGAGGACTTTGTAGAGTAGGGTAGATGGTTGGACTCGATGATCCCAAGGGTCTCTTCCAACCTAGACGATTCTATGATTCTATGAAAGAACAACAGGGAAACAAGGCACATGAAGATGGCAGGGGGAAAGTAACAAACCTGAGCATAGGAAGTGAGCACCAAGGATGAATCTGTGCAGATAATTTTGGATAATCCAAGAGCAGAAGAAAGGAACCATGTGCAAGACTGCTTTTAAAGCTCATGTGGGAAAAACAGTTTTAATCGTAAGGCAAGACAAAACAGAGATGCGTCAGGCAAGACACAATTTTCACAAGAGCGAAATGTGTTATTGATATATCAGGACAACTATAAAGAAGGAGGTAGTGATGTTTACGAGTACAACACTGTTATAAATATACCACATTTCTCATTTACAACATTGATTCACAGACAGTATTTACAGGACAATGTCTTTAGAATTTCTGCCGAATGAGTAATCCCAGGGTAGGGAGCTATTAACAGATAGGAGAAGACCATCTCTCTAGACGGTGAGGAAGAGGCGTCGTCTTTCCATCATTACTCTGAAAGTTAAAACAGTACATTATTAACATCCAAATGAAACTTTAGTTAGATATTTCAGCATATTCTTTCCTGTCCCTTTTGCAATGTGTTTTCTATGAATCCTGTCAATATACAAGGAGCAAAATGATATTGAGGATTAGAACTCATGGCTTGTTGTTCTCTTGAGTACCAAGAGTATCAAGAAAAATCAATATGACGTAAGCACAAATCTTATATGCACTGATGTTAGTGTGTTAGCCTAGAATTATTCTGAAAGCGCATAGGTGTGGCTCAGTCAATGGGAGGTGGGGGGAAGCAGCTCCATGCATTGTTTTCCGTAAAGCTTCAAAGCTCATACGACTTTCATATTGACATTTAGGTCAAGACAACCTAAATGCATTGGAATTACTACCTAGTCACTGGTAGTAATTGGAATCACTCCCTAGAAAACCTGGAAGAATGAATATTAGGTTCCTTTAAAAGGTATCTCTGTGCATAAAAAATTTTTCCCAAAAACTCTGAAAAGCCAAAAATCAGAAAGCTTTTTCATCCTTGACTGTGAAAAAAAATCAGAAATTGACTTCCAAAATACTTATCCTGTTTCACTTGGATTGAAACTCTTTTTATAAGCATTCAAATACAAATATATAATGAGGAGAAATAATTTTAGTTATTTGTCTCCCCATTATGGCACATACACATAGGAGAAGATTTTCTTTGTATAAGTAAAATGCAAGAGGAGAGCTGAAAAGTTTGGTTGGAGTCTGTAGCTAACCAATCTCATCCCTATTCCATTTTTAATCAGAGGACTAAACAATGAATCCTAGGTAATAAGCTAATCATGGAAAGACTTTCCTGAAAACTGAATATTTTATATTTTGCACAACAATGTTAAGAAAATTGCATTTCCTAGCAAATCTCAACATCTTTCCAGAAAGAATTCTCTTCTTTCAAGTAAACGCTTCACATCTTTGTAAAGAAACAGTCCCTTTTAATGGACAGCACTTACATGTTAATGTGAGAGAAGTTGGGTCAAGCTTTAACCTGTCACATTCAGATATCTCAGGATCAAAAGCATCATCTTCATCATAAATATTTTGACGCAGAACATTCCTTATAAAATCTGGGTTCATTGTGTTTTCCATAAACCCCTCTGTCAATGGTGGTATAGAAAACTCTAGCTGATATAATACAGTGGAGTTTTCATTACTGAAAAACAAATAAAAAAAAAAAAGTCAAGTATGAATGTCTTCAAGTCATGACCGGATTTTTTCTTTCTTGAGCAATCTCACTTCATACTAATGTTTGTGTGGATTTTTTTTAAGCTTGTTCTAAAAAAAGCATTATACAGGAAAACTTCCATCAAAGATTCCAGTTTCCTCCTTGGCCCCCGCTTCTCAGACCACCTCTTGACGTTAACAGAAACTGGGCACATACCTGAAGCCAAACTGGGACATGTTTTCAAATGTGTAAAGGGCAAGTGGACACACGTTGTAATGGGGTGAGGTTTTCAGCACTTGTGTCTAACAAGTACCTACCGATAAGAGGGGAGGTGTTGCAATATCTCATGCATAGGTTAGCTGAGAACCTGCAGAAAGATTTGCTCTCCTGCTTAGCAGTACCTGGCACAACCGAGCTGTGCTCCTACCCCAGCTCTGGAGTGGATTATGCAAACCACCAAATTGGAGTCCATCTCCCAAGATTTCATTGCTTGTGGTCTACCAAGTCCCCTACCTACAACTTGATGTTTATGTTTTGTAGCCACAGGATTTAGGACATCAAAAAAGAAATTGGGTGAGGAAAGAGAAAAAGAGGCAGAGAGAGAGAGAGGAAAAGAGAGACAAATCAGCTAGTCAATAAATATGCAGAACTGCAGCTTTGTATTTGGTGTGTAAATTGTAATTTTTACCTATAAGGCTCACTCATTGAGCAGAGCCAGCATGCCCAAGGCTGGCGATACAGGGCAGCACATCCCCCAGAGTGCCCTCACAACTGTCCCTTGCCCCAGCCCAGGTGGTTCTTCCTCTGTCCTTGCTCTTTCAAGGACCTTGGGCTTTTGAAAATTCTACTTCCCGTGATTTTCTCCTGTCTTTCTAATCCCCTTCGTAACAGTGCTTTTTCGAAGTCCTTGAGGAAGCCCTCTGACCGTCTTCCTTTGCCTCTGCCACCTCTCCATGGCAGGACCATGTTGCAGGTGATCTTTCCAGCCTCACTTTTCCCTCTGTTGCTCAGTCTCCCTCCTGTTGTGAATCTGTGATATTTCCATATATTAGAACTTTACAGTCTCAAACACAGTGAACTCCCTCACCTCCCTCCAGTGTCAGTTTCTGCCAAGAGTAGGATCTTCCCTCTGTTCCAGCTTGAATCTTTCTGTTGCCTCTTCAAGGCACGCCTGGATGATTTTCTTCTTCTTCTCACCTCTGCTACTCCTCTGTCCCCATCAGTCTTTGGTGGCAGAGCTTCTCCTTCATGTGTAAGCAGCTCCCACCCAGGCTAGCCTACCCTCCACTCTACCATCTGCTCTGCCTCTGACTCCTGCTCCACCAGTCTCTCTGACACACTGCTGCTTTGAGATTTGTTCATGTTGTCCAAAGTAAAGTGAGGGGGAAAAATGATCCAAGCAAACCAGCAATGCAATATTGCTGGTTTGGCTGTCATGACTTGTATGTCCCTGTTGCTTTATAGCTCTTCTGGAAACAGAACTGTTTTCCCCTCCCCGTGAACCCTGTTTTATTTATTTAAAGCTATTTAAGCCGTGTCGAGCTCAAGTGGTTCCAGAAGTTAATTTCCCTTTAATAAATAGCCTTGAACATTTTTATTAAGGGCTGCATTTGGAACCAAAACCAGCAGAGGTGATACTTAAGAGCAGCACAATGTTACTGTCATTATATATAATTAGCAGCATTTGTCATTTACATGAGGGGATACTTCAACTAGTTTTCACTGGTTTTGTAACTCCCTCAAACACCCTATTTTTCTCAGATTTAAATGTTGCATATGTTTACATAGGCACATGCATTTCTCATCAAAAGCTTGGAAATTTCAGATAATTTTGGTGACAGAAATTACTTACCTGAAATAAACCACCTGAGCTGACCTAAAATAACGTCCTAGAGCTGGAGATGAACTGTAGACGTCTGTTAACTTGGAGAGAAAAAAAAGAAAAGAAAAACATTTTCTTCCATTCATTCTCTCTTTTCCCCATAAAAGAAAGTACAGCAAATCATTCTTACAAGGTGTTTTGAGGGGCATAAACACAGGTGCTGAAGGTCATATATCAGCAAATATCTGCCCTGGAAGAGGTACACAATCATTTTAAGCTTCACAGACAAGTTAATCTGTGAGTTTGACTGATTACTATATTATCTTATTACTATGTCACCTTAACACAATGGAGGCATTCGGGGGTGAACTAAAAGTACGTGCTTATGTTGCCATGTGCGATTTATGCTGGTTGACTTGGGGTTTTATTTGTATAAAAGCCCCCTTCTACTCTTACTTCATAGAGGGAAGGGTCCCTGTATTGACATTCCCTTTCCACATTAAGTCAAAATCAGCACTTCCACGCCTGCCAAGCTTATTTCAGCCGTAATTCAGAGCTGTGATGGCTCAATGGAAACGGCAGCTATAAACCCAGACTGTCATTGTGTACTTACAGGAGAATGCAACATACAGGATTTTTAGCAGTTATCCAGCTTTGATGACTTCACAGCCCCCTTCTAATCTAAATTATTCAGTGATTCTATAAAAAGGTAAGACTACATCCCAACCATTACTGAAATTTAGGAAAGAGAAAAAACATCAGGGTGGTGTTTTTTTTTTAAATCAATGTAAACAGCTTGTGTGCTTAAAAGCAGACAATTCCTTTTCCTAGATCAGGACTTAACATTATATTAGAAAAAGTACAACTCAGATTTTTTTCGGACTTGCAAATGACTGAGTTGCTAAACAGAGAAACAAACTCCTTAAAAAGGAAAACACTGAATCTATGTTACAAGCAGAATCACCTTTGCTAAGAACCATATCAACACATACCCTCTTAGTAATGTTTTCAGAGGAAAGATGTGGGAGACCGCACATTAATTCCAATGTTCCTGAAAAATTGCGGTAATTTCCACTATTTAGTAGTGCATCAGAATCCCAGTAGTCATCCTCGTCTGTGTAAACATCTGATATTCAACAGGATATAAAAAAGGAAGGAAAAATTCCCAGTTAGCAGAAGTGTTGAAAAAAACCCCTCAGCTTTCTTCAGGGTGTCTTTCTCACAAATTTCCTAGGTAATGACCGTCCGGGAGTAACAGAAAGAAAGTGCAAGTCACCTGAAGAAAAGTGACAGCACATGGAGATCAATCACCCACCCCCATTAGCAAAAATCAGCCCTTTGGGGAGCCCGACAGGCACTGACACCACCTGAGAGGACGCAAGTGATCCATTGCACTTCTTGCAATGTTACAAGCATCACGTCCATCCTCATCCCCGACTCTTTTCTCACTGAGCTACAAACTGGAATTGCCATCTGATCAGGATACAAGTTGCTTGTTGCCTACTAAACAAAAAGTACACGTCCACTACTCAACACACCACCCTCTGCAGGCAGCGTCCCAGTCCCCTCGGCCGTTTACAGAGTTTAAAGGATGCTAATGTTCTATTTGTGTTATATTAGATTGTACATATTGTACATTTTTATTAGAGGACAAACCAAGAGTGAGATACTTACTAGAATAAATAATTAGGCTGATGAGAATGACCAGGAAGATTACTAGAAAAATGGTAATTATAACCATCCATTGTTTACACTTCCAGAAAACAACATTGGAGCATGATTTCCAGGGATCTCTCTCCTAGTTACAAAAGGAAGAGGAATGTTGATTAATGAAATACACTAGGAAAAAATATTTAAGTGGCTCTACTGTAGCATTTAAATACAGAAAACTCCACATAGGTAGGAGAATCTCATTGGTAAGCTATACCCACCCTATACCAGGGGTTCCCACATTAAGTACTGCTGCAGGTGGGTTCATAGACCTGCAGAAGGCAAAGAACATTCCCAGGCAGGGTATTATGTGAGAGTCGTATTGTTTCCCATCATTTATTCAGAATTTCCAATTCCTGAATTGCCCATTAAGCTGAGGTGCTACAAAGGTGCTTTCATGGCTTTTTTTTTTTTTTTTTTTTTTGAACTACATCAATTAGATTTGTATTTCTGTAAGCTGTCCTTTTAATGTTTGCCACCCCTGCCAATCAAAAAGGTGTCTGTGGAGGAAGTTCCAGAATCATTCACCTTTGCGATGTTGCTGGTATCAGTCTGCATAGCTCCTGGACGCCGGCACCCAAAGCAGATGGACTATTCTTCATGAGATATTATTACATGAAAGAACACATTAAAAAAATTGAGACTTTTACAGACAACTCCCTTTTTCTTCAGAAGATTGGAAACTTGAAGGCTATTGAGTATTTTTGACAGAAAGCTTATTCCAAATCTCATCTGTTCTAGGAGATCATAAGGAAATTCTCATCAAAGCAATTTTGCATGTATGTTCATATAGGAAAGAAAGGACAATACTGGCCTTTCACTTAGTTTTTAGTAAGATTTAAGACCATGGTAAAAATTAAATTAGTTACCCTAGTAGTACCAAAAAAAAAAAAAAAAAAAATCACAATAACAAAAAAACAACAGAACAGATAATGACACGTATATCATGTTTCTAAAAACAAACAAAAAAAAAAAAAAAAAAGATGCCATAGCAAAACAAGAAAACTCCAACTGTCCTAATGCACAACCAGAAGGCTGAAGGAAGGGCACAAATTCATAAATAGACCATATTAATTCTGCCTTTTTAATTCATCATTATAATCCACCATAAACCCAGCAGTAAACTCCACGTCCTTTTTGACATTGGTACCAGGCAAAGGGAAACACATGCTGTGGGTTGTCTGGGCCACACACGTGTAGGCTGGCAGGAACCAGCTGCTAGCTGGAGGCACTAACCCAGGTTACCTTCTTGTACCTTTTGAACTTTCTAAGAAACCACTATAATACAAAGCCTTTCACTGAGTTTAACTGACATCCACCAGCTGGCTTGAAGCTTCTTTGGAAGTGGCAGATGAAGAGAGAGAGAAAACAGATACCCACAGAAAGACCTTACGAGAGTCATTTCTCCAGGAGTCAAGGTAAAGAAAGGGAAGGAACTCTCTGCAGACACCCCTACATGTAGAACTTCACTTTAGTGGAGAATAAAAGTCAAAGGCTGAGTTTGGTTTTGCTTGCAATATGCTGTCAGGCGTGGTCGTATTTACACATATATTTTGTATTTGATTTTCAAAATGTATTATGGTAACGAAACTCCAGCTTAATGCTTGACACTAGCATTTCATTTTGTATCTGAAAAAAAGAAAATTCTCCAGTAACTACCGCCTAGAGTACAACTGCGAAATCAGACATAGTAGTATCAGTTGAGGCAGACGGTTACCAAGTCCAAGTTTCGATACAGCCACATATTTAGACCATCACGAAAGTGTAATTCTCAATCATGCATAGCAAACTGGCTTGAACTTAGGCAAACATTCAGCTCTCTAACTATCCCCTACCAGCTGGGCCAACGCCCTCTGGATATTGCCCATCTACATCACCAGACTGCCAGGAGGGAGCAGCAGCAGAGGAACCTCTCCCCTGTAGGCAGGGCAGCTCTTCCAATCAACCTGCTGCTACCTGAGCAGGAAGCAGAGCGTGGTAATTTTCCAACAGTCCTTATAGGATAGCAAAGCGGTTGCCAGAATCAGCAGAAACAGAACCCAAATGCAAACTCCATTCTGTGAAGGGGAAGGCTACGCTGAAACTTAAGGGTAAAGTTTCTCAAGGCAGCCAAGCGGATCTGGCTTGCCCCCGCCTCTCCTCCACACTCTCCTGTTCCTCTTTGCACCTCCCCAGAACTTCTCCCACCCTGCAGCAAGCTGCTTCATCTTACCAGACCAGAGAAGAGGCAGCTGTCCCCTGATACAGTAGAGTAAATGTTTTTTTTTGCCTAACCAGCGGCATGAATCAGCCGGCAGAGCCGACCAGCAGGGCTCTCACAAGGAAGCAGTGACCGTGGCTCAGCCGGGAGCGGGAAGGGAGGGGTGATGTGACTAACACCACCGAGCTCTCGGGATGGCTCAGCCCTTCTTACAGGAAAGGGGGAAACATCTTCCCTCTGCCACAGATATCCCCTCTGCTCCTGAGTAAGTAATGAAACACCGTTGTACAACAATCACCTGTGAGTATATACAGCTCCTCTGCCGGGGTTAGTCTGTGCCACAGCTTGAAGCTAAACGCTGGGAGCTACCTCCCTCAGGACTCACGTGCTGGTCTTAACTGAGGCTTTGGGGCACTCTATTCGTACAAATTCGTAATTCTTAGCAATTTAAAATTACTCAAAAACAAAAAGAGAGATGATCTGTTGCAGTAGTTCTATTCTTGTTTTGGCAGTGCTGTTTTCTGATTAATTTGTTCAGAAAAAAAAGCCTGCTTTTATTACGGATTTCAACTTTTCTCCTTTCTGTTTTTGAGCCCAATCCCACTGAGAGCATATGAAAAGAGAAAGAAAAACTCAGAGTACCAATTATGACTTCATTACCCAAATTAAACTTCACAGCCAAGCACAAATAATAATAATAATAAAAAAGCTTAAAATCCCACTCTGATATTAGAGTATTTCATTGAGAAGGGGAAAAGAAATATGTTTAACAGGTTTTCAGCTGTTACTTTCAAGTGACTTGACTAACCTTTCCCCAACAAATTAAACCCCTTCTACAAGATCCTGCAAAGTGTCATTTCACTTGCTGTTTAATATTTTCCCCAGCAGCAACTGTCATATGAGCCAGTAAAATTCCTACCTTTATTGTTTGAGCATTTAGAGGCTTTTCATGATCAGCCTCACTTTCCTCCACATTATCTTCTTGTAATTCAATAATCTCATGCTCCTGAGCAGAGCTGTGCCTTTTCATAGCTGCTCTGTCTGCGCGAGGACCTCTGACTCTGAAGCAAGCACGGAGGCAACTCATTTCCTTCTGGTTTCAGCCGCAGCTATGGTCAGTAGTAGTTCTGGTATGAGGGTGGAGATGGCAACAGGGAGAGTTGGGATAGTTTTCACCGGAGTGATCTCAAAACAGTGATAAACAAGGGGAATTCCTTGGAAGGACAAATAAGAAGGTCCCTCTGTGCTGGCTCCAGAGAAATGGGAGGCGGGGGAAGTATCGATTCGCCCAGTAGTCAGAACTGCAGCCCTCAGCTGTGCAATACTAGGTTTTCCAGTTTGTCCACCTTACTGTACCAGCCCTTGACAAGCAGGTGACTAAACCTTCAGCAACGTTGTCATTCGCTGAGGCAATTTTGAAAGGAACCGGACTGCTCTCACTGCTGCTGTCGCCTGAAACAGTAAAATATTATTGCTGTTATCCATGCAGCTAAACAGATGTGGCTCTGAACAGCACAAACTGAGTCAAGGAACACATAGGTTGAAGTTCAGTTAGGTTGTGAAGGGAACTTAATAAATGAACACTGCTGATCTTTTTGCCATGAATTGTCCTCTCTCTAGCTCTTATGCAGTCTAAAATCATGTCTGGTGTTAAAGAACCTTTTATGTCTATTCACATACTGTCTAACCTAAACCTGAAAAGCTGCTTCCATGTAAAAAAAAAAAAACAACAAAAGGACAAATCTAAAGAGAAGAGGAAGATGGCTTCAATTTCAACCTTTGCTCGACAGGGCATGCTTTTATTAAAGAAATCATAGTGGGAGTTGAGATCTGGTTGGCACTATCTTCCCACATGAACTCTCCCATGCTTCTTAGAGTCACTCATGACAACTTATTGCAGCCAGAGGCTGGGTCCTACACCCACCTCTCCAGTGTCTTTCATCCTGCCTCCTCTCATTTCTCCTACTGTGACTCCATCATCATGGTTATCCTTCCTCCCCACAGAGCATGTCTTTCCCTTCTGGATCAAAAGGGTTGGGCAGACAGGCAGCCAGCAACTGCTCTCTTGCTCATTCTCTTGTCCCAGCACAGGGAGAGCAGTGGATTAAGAGGAAAACATAGCCTCTTTCTCCAGCTCCTTCCCTTGCTGGCCAAGCATCCACTCACAGCACTGCTCCTTTTCTTGCCAAATGCTGAGGATGCTTTTCCTTTCCCCAGATTTTCTCATTATGAAACTCATCCGGGTATTGATGCCTGAAGCATTCCCAGAGATTCAGATTCCTGATGTCATGTCACAGACTTCCATGCAAAGGCACTCCATCAAGCTGAGTACATGGCTTAGTTTAATTCAATGAATAAAAAGAAATACAATTGCATACCCTACCTTTTGGTTCTGGAGAATCCTTAAAACTCCAGAGGAATGAGGACGAAGCTGAGCAGTCATGAAGAACAAAACGTCTGTCTGGATCCACAAGATTTTACCTGGGACATCTTCACTAAAAAAACCTTTTACTGATGGTTCTTCGCACTCCTGCTGGAGATGAACTTCATTTATTTCCTTTTCACTCACAGCAAGAGACCTTACCTTCCTGCCTGAAACCAAACCATTTTTCCTAAGCCAAATGAGTTAATGATTATGGACCTCACCCTGGAAAGGGCAAAGTCCTTTTATTTACATCTGAGGAAGGAGCTTAACAACGAATTGTTGAGTTTCTTTAGTCTGGTTGATACAGCTTTCACGCTTGGTGCCTTTCTTGCATGTGAAGCAACTGACCCTTCTGACGTAGAGATGAGAAACTCTTAAATAAAATGGGAAGTCAATGACTGATCTGAACTTTCTGGCCCAGGCTTTTAGCCAAAAGAGAACAACAGGAAAACTGCTTTCTAACACAGTGAAGACATCTCTGGTTTCCATATAAGGAAAAGAAGCTTGTGCCCTTAAAAATATGCTTTAGTAAAATGGCCAAGTTAGGCTCAGCTTTTCAAAAAATTCCAAGGTACACGTGCAGTTCTGATTGCACCTGGGAATTATAGTTTCCGAGGCACAATAAAACAAATAAAACATAGCCACTTGCATTTTCAGCGTGTGTTTATTAAAAAGGAAGATGTGAACAAATGACTAGCCTTTAAAGATAATAACTTCCCTAAAATATAGGGTATAGATTATGTAGTAAATTTTACACAAGCATCAGGGAGGGGGAATGTCCAATACTAGCACAAGAAAGGAAGGAAAAGCACTATCAGAGCTAGCTGCAGGAATCTCAGTGTGTGAAGATCACAGTGCTAGCTCATTCCTGTGTTTTCCCCACATGCTGCAAAGGTGTGTCTACAACTAAACAAGATCACATACGTATGTATTGTAGAATGTGTGTGCTGTGGTAGACAGCAATGACTAGTATTCAAACTGCCAGCTTCATTATTCTTTTATACATTAAAGGACAAGGACAACAGGAAAAGAAGTGTGAACCCACCAGGAGCACACTAAAATTCACAAAGCATCCCACAGACAGAGCTGGGGGAATACACTTGTAATGAGACCCTACAACTATGTTCAAATTTTAAAAAGAATATAAGAAAATAGCAAAGTTTGTTTTTCAATAATTAAAAGTATTTCTTTCCTCTTATTTAAACATCATCCCAAAGAATCTAAATTATACTCTTCCAGTTCTTTAATGAAAATTTCTTGCATCCTAGCATTTGTGAACTATTTATCTGATATTTTTAGGAAAATACAGGTTACAGCCCAAAAAGGAACAGTTGTGTAACAGCAGCGTAACTAGAGAATGAATTAATCTCAGCTTTGTACACTATACGGATTACAGTATTTGTATTTTCAAGACACACAATCATTTATGGGTAGAATCCAGTAACACCACTAACATAATATATATGAGTTGAGTACATACAGGATGTGCCCATGAATATCCAGATATGTGTATGTGGAAACATATATAGATATGTAGCTAGCAACGGAGAGGGAAGCAGGGGAGAAAATTTGCAAAAGAGAGATTTGGCTGGATTTTTGCTGCAGGTTCTAATCCATTTTATTTTGTTTTTAAGGCAGTGCTGTTCCTGCTACTTAGGATAAGGAAGATGAATTCATAAGGAATCTGAAGTATCTCTGAATCTGAGCAGTTACTGCCACATGGATAACAAGTGATAGTTTCTCCATCAAGAAAATGCATTCTTTCACAAAAGAACAGTCATTGGCATTTTCAGGTTATGTCATCAGAGATGGACATGATAGACCACTGTAGGAAGCAGATTTCATAAGGGAGATGATCTTTTCTCCTTGGCACATCAATTTGTATTCTGACGAATCCAGTCATAAAGTACTGTCACCTTAGTGTATACACCGGGACGATTGCGCCGAGCACATCCTTCACCCCAGCTCACAATGCCAGCAAGGTACCACCTATTTCCCTTTCCTGTGCAGGCCAAGGGACCTCCGGAATCTCCCTAAAATGAAGGGAGTTCAGCCATTAGTGCACGTGGATGCACACACATACACACAGAGAGCGCTGTCACAAAAGTTAGGTTAATTAAGGACAGTAAATACCTGCCCCTCTCTTTCTCAAATTACAATTTAATATTAGAATCTTATTTCTGGATAGAATGTACCCAGCTAGATGACATAGTCATTCAGTTTGTTCTAACTTGCAGAAGTAGCACAGTAATCAGTGTAAAGCAAGGGCAAGAAGTAGTTCAAAAAGTTAGTCATTGCTAATGTCCCATTTCAGGATTCATAATGCAACCAATCACAGGTTGAATGGTGAGAGGAGAATACAGGGATGGAAAATGGGAATTCTGCTCCTATTTGACCATAAATTGTTGACAGGTGGAAGGTAGAAATAGGAACAGAAAGATACTATGCACCCCCATCAAAAAAAAGACAAGAGAAAAAACCAAAACAGACCCAAACCCAAAAAACAAACCAGTCACAATTAAGTGTCAGCCACTTTCATAATCAAAACTGTGTATACATTCATAGAGGGAGAGGAAGGAACAAAGACTAAGGAATGTGTAAATAAGAATTGGCTTCTCAAAGGCAACATTCAGGTCTGTGCAGCAAGTTAGAAAAGTAAAATTCCCATTTAGTTCAATTCACAGGATTAAAATGCATTTAGGCTTACAAATGCATTGCGTCTTTCATTGTTTTAACCTTGTATGCCTTCTGTGAACAGACCAGTTCACAGAACTCTGAGCAGTTACTAATGCAGCTCATCTGCAACTGTTCCTTCCACATACAAGACAGTCAGCAACCTCCAAGTTGACCCTGGGGTTTGTTTGCTGCCCCCAGTTGGAACTAAAACATGGAAGAGGTCAGAAGAAAACCATGTACCGAGAAAAGAGTAACAATAGAAAGGTTTCATCATCCAACCAAACAAAATTATCTAGTGATAAGAAGGCAGAACAGTTCTTCCTCTCTCTCAGGCTGCTGTCATACTGGCAATTTTGATAATCCAAGAGGCTGATCTCAAAGGGACTTGAGAAAGGAGGCTGGCCTCCTCTGAAAGACCAAAGCCAGTTCTGAAAGACCAAAGGAGCTGTATGCCAGTGGAGAGAGGCAGGATCCTGAAAATAGGAACCAAGGCCAGAGGACATCCTAGCGTAATAAGAAAATAGTCTGAAAGAGTAAACACTTTATTTCTCTCTTTAAGTATCACATCATCTAAAGATGAAAGATGTTTGGAAGCTTCACATAACCTGTGCAGTACACGCACAGCTTATGCGTTCATGAAGAAATGAAACAGATCAGGATGCCCACAAGCCTGGAATTGTAGTAAAAGGGTTTCAGGTGCTGCTGAATTCCTGAGCTGCCAACATCATTCCTATCTAGCCCTGCACAGGAAATATTCTAGTGACAGAAAAGACAGAAAAGGCAAAGATTGTTCCCTCAGACTAAGAATTTAAAGGTCCAGAGGGTAGTCCATGGTAGGACTCAAACACAGCATATCATGTTGGAAGCCAGATTGACCAGTACGGTATATAGGTGAATCAGTTAAAATCTCCATCATGTTCAAGGGCATTTCTGAAGCAGCACATTTTTTTGAGGAACATCAAGCCTCTAAAACAACGGTTTACAAAACAGTTCCAAGGTCTAAGGTTATACACAAACTGCACATAAAGTTAAAAATATAATAATTCTTTGAATTAGAATTTAGAGAGTGCAGTCTCTATATTAAATAGCCTGTCCTGTATAAAGAATTTTGACCTATTGCAAGCTATGATCTTGCAAAAATGTATTCTATTACATTAAAATACTAAAATTTATATATTACACCAAAATTCTATCAATTTACCACAGTTTAAAATCAGTAACACATTTCTCTCCCTTCACACAGTAAGTAGTGTAATAACCATGTTTGTATTTTGAAATTGGATATTCTTCATAAGTTTAAGTACTGATAAAGTACACAACTAGTCTAATAAGTGAGGAGAAAAAAAGGCAGTCAAGACACATGAAATATGTCCAAAAAGCAGTTTCTGATTGTGCAAATAAACTAGGTCATATAATTTATGACACAATGTTGTAATCAAAACTTGTAATTATACACATGAATGAACATTTGAAACTAAAAGGCAGCATGACATTTACCAAACCTAGCTTACCCTTGCCTTTTGTATTCCTTTGTAACTATAACAATATATTAGTCATCATACTATTAGAGTATTTTATTTATCTCACACTCAGACATCCAAAAAGGAAAAAAAAAAATCAGCAAGAATAGCAAAAATCACATATGGCCCTTACTTTATTCCCTTTATACTTATGTCTCTGTTCTTTTATAGGAAACTTAACCGTTGAAGATGAAAAAGAATTCTTTTCAACACATTTTACCCCTTGTCTTTGCAAAGCCACATTTCTTAAGAGATTCAGAGATAATCTATGCCAAATTTCCTTCCTTATTTTGGAGAGCCTTTAACTGCCATGTTAAATACACTCAAGTCATCTCAGTTTATTACTAAGAAAAAATCCTGACACTATCAACTCTGAACAGTTTTCCAATAAAAGCAAATATTCCTTTGTATTTTCTCTACAAGTTCTGGATTACCTGGCATGCATCAACACCACCATTAAGATTCCCAGCACACAGCATACGTGATGTGATCAGATCATCATACAGCTTGTTGCAGACACTTTGGTTAATTATTCTCACTCGAGCTTCCTGCAATGTTTTGGCAAGATGGCCTAGGGAAAAAAAAAAAAAGGTGTTGCAGAAGTTCTGGTGGTACAGATTTCTAACAGAAAAACCACTTGTCAAAACAAAAGAGAATTGCTACAAACTCAAAACCTACGCAGCTGATAGCAATAATAAGATAATAACAATAGAATAATTCCCCTTCCTTCAATTGCTGCCCCCCCTCAGCTTTTGAAAGCTGCTGTCTACACTGCTCCCTAGAGTATTGGTCCCTAGGACCACCTTTCCATTTTCTTAGTCTTTATCCTTTTGAGCTTGTTCTGCCAGAAAGTCATAAAAAAGCCATGCAAATTATCAGTGTAATTCAAGGCTCCAACAGTGTGACTAACTTTGAATGCCATTTCAAATTATGCTGAAAGCTTTTTGTTGTTATTTACACTATGGCTGTGTTCCAAATGTTGTCCAAATCCTAGTAAATAAATTTCTACCTTCTTTCCCATCCTCTCACTTCTAGGGAAGGAGCTGAGAACGTAGCTTGGGGGGAGGTGCAGATTTTCAAAAAATCTAGCTTGTAAGTCACAAATGATGCTAAGAGCTTAATTCTGTACTATAGTATTGGCATAAGGTGTCATTGTGAACTCAGTATCCTCAGTCATGTTTTGACCCAACAGTCAATGTAACCTTTTCAATACCTGGATGATCAGAGAAAGTACTACTGGGATTTTGTTGGTTTGCTCATTCAGCTCTGAGGGTGGGTTGGGAATGAAACAGGTAAGATAGAAAAATACAGTTTTTTCACATGCTATTATATTGACCGTTTAATTGACCTACATCATTTAGTTAAAAAGCTGTAAGAAGGCATCAATTGCAAATCCATTACATTCATTAAACTATTATGTTATTATCTAGATTTAAACCTTTTTTTAAAAAAGGCATATTAAGAAAGCCAGAATTACCATATGGCTTCTGATCTAATATGAGGGATTGTGTCTCTCTGCAATTGTGGGGACCACTGCAACGTTGAGGAGCTATATAAGCCCGGGTTTCAAAGCTGGCTCCTGTAATAATGCTGAGACAGGGCCAAGATCCCGTGGGCTCCCTCACCACCCCTTTCTGCTTTTTTTCTGCCCCCTCACTGCAGCATGCTATTACAAGCTGCGCAGGCAGAGCTCTTCATGGGGCATATATTCAACTGCCTTTGGTTAAGACAGACAAACCAAGAAAAACTCCACAATATTTTTGCAATTATTGCTGTTCATGGCCCCATATTGTCAAACGCAGTGATAGAGATAACATTCTTCCTCTGTGATAGTTGCAAGCCTCTGTTTTCTTTACCTGTAAAGTTGCTTATGACCAATTCACCAGATAAAATGAGCCATGAGCATAATAAGGGGTACATTTTAGTAAATTAATAATTTAGTAAATTAATAATAATTTCCTTTTCAATGGTCTGGCACGTATTGGCACTTATCACCTGCCATCCAAGCACATATTCAGAATTCACAGACGGTAGCTAAGGGGAAATTTCCTAATTTTTTTAAGACCTATTAAATAAACCCAGGTATTTTCTCTTATGACTATAAATATTTTATTGTTAGAGTTTAAAATTAAGCCAAACTTGCAAGAAGTATATCCAGGAAATGAACATACTATTTTCTCTTATGGCTCCCCAGCCAGTTACATAGCAGACAGTTCCATAAACAAATACTCTAGAGGTGCTGGGTAAACAAATGGGCTGTACCAGCTCACTGAAGAATACAGGCGTCTCCATTTCCAACAGTGCAATGTCATAGTCTGAGACAGAATGGTCATACTGTGGGTGGACAATAATCCTTTTGATTGATCTCATAGCTACACGATTGCTCTTTTCATTAATAGTATGTAAGCCCATATATGCTCTCCATCCCGAAGGATCGGAGTATCTGTAAAGAGAATGTTTTTAGAATGTCCCATTGGAAAGTAATGCAGTGTCACTTCACCATATTTTATCTACTTGTCAGTATTTGATGAGATTCTTCAAAACTGAACTGAATGGAGTAGAACACCACTTAGGACGAGAGATGCACTATGGCCATAGTCTGTGTCTCTAAAAACATCGAGTAACAGTTTTACTTACCATTTTGAAAGTAATAATTTCCTGGAGCTATAAGACCAATTCTTTGCAATATATCATGCTTTGGAAGTCACAAAAGTATAATAATAATAAACTTTGTTTCTTCTTTGCCACATGTAAGAGGTATGTCTTTTCAATTTACACTACTCAAACTGAACATTGGTGAGTTTTACACTCCACTTATCAATATAGTCCATTTTTGGGGAGAAAAGACCAATAGCATCCACTCAGAAAATCCATGCATTCTTAAAAAAAATGGTGTTTACACTAAGTTTTACAAAACAGTATGTTTTATCATGCAGGATTCACTGGCAATGGAGGCAAAATAATTACTGCAGATACTTGGGACTTCTGAAGCCAGCAGAAAACAATACTGAGGGTTTGTGTTGCAGAGTTACACCCTGAATCAACTTATCTAGTCAGGGACTAGCTACTGCAGACTTTTGAAAGTAACACTGTAAGGTTATTAAACTGCAAATATTCTATGACAGTATAACTTCTTCATACCTCACGGAATCAGAATCCAGGAAGCAATGGGCAGCAGATATGAGCCACCGATTGGAAATAACAGTTGCACCACATACGTGGCCATGCGGTCCCATCTGTAAGCTCACTTGCCAGGGCCACTTTCCAGATCTTGCATCTTCACCTCCAACAATTCTGGTTTTCTTAAGCTGGTGTCTTCCACAGGCTAATAGAAATAATTGAAAAAAATAGTTACAAAAACCACAAGGTCATTTCACTTTGCTGTCCTTAATACATAAACTTTTAGCCATATGCTTCAAAGCTGTTGAGAGAAAAAAAAGTATTTTCTTACTATGCAATTGGTAAAAAGATAAGGGTATTTGCCCTTTTTCATGGAATGGGTAGAACAGCAATAAACCACCCATCCTCCCTTACAACTTTCTAAAGAGGTTAGTAACTTAGAAAGACATTTAAGCACAATTCTAAGCTTGGGTTGTTTCCAAAAGTTCACTAGAATAAAATCTCATATCTTTTCCCACCTTATATACACAGCTCCTCGACTGCATTTCATTCAGATCAAACAAGTACTAAGACCTGCCAGCTTATGCTGGAAGTTATTTCTTGAAATAAGTGATCATAGACAGAATGGAACAGGGGTTTTAAAAGTTAACAGTGTGAAATGACACACATTTTCATACAGATATTACCACAATATTAAATTTTTTGAATTCACAGCTGATTTGATCAATTCTTAATACAATGATGATTGACCACAGCACAAACTCCTGATTCAGTTTCCCAAGTCATTAACTAATTCTTAAATACATGTTACCATACCACAGTTCATTTCATCAGATCCATCTGCACAGTCTCTTTTCCCATCACACTCAGGATTTGGTTTCAGCAAGCATTTTCCATTGAGACATTTGTATGCATAAGGGGAGCAACTTTTGTAGGCTGAAATAAGAGAGAGGTAAGATAGTGTCACATGTTTGGAGCCACAGTTTCAAATTATTAAAACAACTTGCATGTTCAGCCTACTCCGTGGTGAAAGTTGTCCAAAGCTACTCATTTCAGTCTGCTTGAAGTCATAGTCTGTAATGATGTTAACCCTATGCAGAAGGGATGGGGCAGCACTCCACTCTGATTAATGATCACATTAATTTCAGTCTCCACTGTCCATGAGAAAAAAGACAGAAGAGCCTCCAACTGTCCTCACTTGGTTAAGGACTATTAAAATGTACTCTGTGGAAATCCTGACAGATCTCAGCATTAGGCTTCCATTAGAATCATTCTTGTTGTCAGTTGTTTACAGTGATCTCTAAACAGTGGTAAGGATTTTGTTTGTCAAAAGAAAAGGACTTACTCCTGGCTACCTCAAGGACCTAAAAGTCAAAGCAAGGCAAAAATGATAAAGGCAAAATGCAGCAACTCACGAGGGAGATATTAGTAGCACCATTGATGTCTGTAACCATGGTGGATCTACAGTAAAGAGACCACGCAGGTGGCAAAGGGCAAAAACCCCAAAGTTATTGTGTCTCTCTCCCTTATGTTATTTGGTACTGCTCAGGCAGCAGTTGGGGAGAAAATGCTGTTCTAACAGAATTATCAGTAAGCTGTGGTTAGGTCACTTAATTAAAATCACTGTTATCTTGGATTCTGCTTTATTAATTTCTTGTTTAGGCTCTCCTAAGATCTAGTTACACTCTTATGTTTTGTTTTCACTACTATGAAACTTGTACTTTGTGCTATGAAAAAATACACAGAAATACTACCTTTATCCATTAAAATAAGCATATTCCTGCTTCTGCCTTCCAATGTCTTTTGGGAAACAGCTAAAAATATATACTCACAGCAGTTGTTTTCATCACTGTCCTCCCCACAGCTGTCATCATCTTTACAAGTCTTATACTGATTCTTACAGTTCCCATCACCACAGTTCAACCGTTCTGGATTACAACCTGAAGAAGAAAGGTCTGTAAATGCCTTATAATCCAAATAGCTGGCTAGCAGCTGTGTACTACACCCCCTATCAGAGGTCACCTTGACATTACTGTGCAGTCTCTGCCAGACATTAATCTCGCTTGGTTTTGATAGTCTCCAGTGACAGAGAGACTTGCTGCATTATCTTAACTTGTGCTGCTCTCTCTGCCCTTGGATTACCTTCTGATCACTTTTTTCTGGCATCTCTTCCTTGTTCCCTATCTTTGGTCTGCAGTGCCCCGTTTGGATACAGTACTCTAGCTGAAGCCTTGCCACTGGTGTCTAGGAAGACCTTTCCAAATACTTGTCTTACATCCTAGCCTGACACTTAAAAAAAACCAAGCAAACAAACAAAAAACAACCAAGAACAAGGCACCAAACAAACACTAAACACACAGAGAAAATTGTATGAATTCGTGGCTCTCAAGTCAGTTTTTGAGACACTATTGCCTCCCTGCCATTTTTCAGCAGAGAAGCAATTTAGGCAAGCCACATGTTTATTTGATTAGCTAAATTCAGATCTTGTCTTTAATGAATTTTCTCCATATACATTCTCCAGCTTGTAAGGATGATTTATAAATCCACCCCTCTTAAACACATTCCTCTTTCTACTGTGTGGCACTTTTCCTGTTTCATAAGCCTCTTCTCTAACCCATCATCTAGATCACTTTCAAAAATTATGACAAGTTCCGTAACAGATACTGTCAGAATGACAATAAAAATATCCTTTCATTTTGGTAATGAGTCACTGGAAGTCATTCTCTGGAAACAGGTGGGGTTTTTTGCTCACTGTGTTTTCTTCACTTAATGAAAAGTTTGTCCTGCAAGAAAGTGTCAAAGTAAAACTTCTCCTCTATGTATTCTGTCACAGCAGAGATGTAAAACAAAATAAACACCTCCATGATGTTCTTTAATACCTCTTTTCGCTGTTTACAAATAGTTTACTTTGACTACTTGTTGCTTAAATATTTTTTTTGAAAGCCTAACTTGTAAAGATTAGTGTAAAATTCCCTTCTATTTTTTGGGGGTTTGTTCTCCCACTCTTTAAAGAGGTGCATTACACAGCCTCTTCTCCAGACTTTCAGATCTTCACCCACAGCCTTCTTATGCTCTTAAAGACAGCCACCAATATTTTAAAAATCATTTCAGCCAGTGTCTATAATTCCTGCAACAAAATGTTTACAGGAGAACACAAACAAGAAATAATTGCCCTACCACAATCTAATGCATCACTACTGTTTGAGCAGCCTTTCCAACCTTCAGACTGATTGTTTGAAGGAACATATGTTCCATCTTTACATCTAAGGACAAGCTAGAAAAATAAGAAATTAATAGCACTGGAAATGCTGTTACAGTCTAAATTCATTAATGCAGGGCTGTACCATGAAGAAACATTAAAATGGCTATTAAAAATGAAAACTAGTGTCATTTATAAACTAAATTGAATGTGAAAAAAGGAAATGCTATCTTACTTACTACTTACTGCCAAATATTTTTATCAAGCAGTCTGAATCAAATGAATCTGTACTCAACGGATTTTGAAAATTAAATTCATATTCACTGTGTCATTCTAAGGGTTGAATATGATTCAGCACAGATACATAATTACTACTGATAGCAAACATGTCTTCAATTAGTTAAGGTAATGTATTTTTACGCAGGTGCACTCTCCTTAGTATTATTTCTTGATATTAAAATGTAGAAATTCATCTCTGTGTTACTACACTCTACCTTCACATCTGATGTTAGTAAGTGCTTTATCAAACACTTTTCAAATCTAGCAATTTCATTATGAAACAGCCTTTCATGAATAATTTCTTTCACTTTCACTTAAACTAACAATTCGTATCAATGTTAAGAGGTTTCTTTGCAATATATCAAAAATGTTTGTTTTCTTCTACTTTTTTGGATGTGCCAGCAGAAAATAAATAAATAAATAAATAAATAAATAAACAAACAGACCCACCCAAGCAAAACAAACAAAAAACCAACTCCAAAATAAACCAAAAAAACTCCCAAAGATGATCTGTAGACAAAAATGTCATCTTCCTGCCCAGGTCAAGTCATCTTAAACATTTTCCCTCTAGCACCACAGGCAAACTAACTGCTGAATAAGATTGAAGGACCAAACATAGTTATCCAACATCTATTTTATCAATTCCAATCTGGAGTCATTTAGTCCTCTTCACTGCCTTGCATGTGACACGGGTGGGAGGAAAGCATACACTACGCAGCTAACACTAGCTCAAATCAGAAATCTCTCTGTTCACTTCACCATTCCCTGAAGTTATTCAGCTGATGGCTGGCATTTGCTTTCCAGGTCAACGCAGAGAAGTGTCTGTGATTTTTAATAACCATTGTTGGTAGGCTACCAACAATGGGAAGAAGCTAATCTGAGGTGCGTGGCTGCAAGTACAAAAGATGTGGAAGAAAAGGAATATTCCCCATCCCCCACTCCCTCTTACTGCTGCTACAGGCAAAGCTGTCATAGAAGACCAGTACTCTCAATACATTCTGCTTTCTCAGCCCTCCACATATGCCTTTATCAACATGATACTGACACATCACACCTAATCTAGCCCTCCTGGTGAGTATCAATACAGATCCTTAAGATTGTGTCTAAGGCTTGATTACATGACGTTGAGCCATTTTGCTTGCTGGCTCAGTGCTGGAAACTGAGCAGAGCACACAGAAAGTTAAGACTTGAGCATGCAATAAAGACTGGGGGATCTCTCTGTAAAAAAAGGAATATTTAGGCTTTGACTTGTCGCTGAACCATTTTTGAGGCAGTAACCAGAGTAATCATAGAACTAATTATAGTTTGCACCTTTTTCCAGCAGAAAGACACACACATTGGCAGAAAATAAATCTCCGAGTCCTATAGAATGACTGACCACAAAATCTGCCACTTGTTTCTAATAAAAGGCACGAAGCAAGAATTTACAGCAGAGATCTTAATGCATAAATACTTCTAAGTCAGCAACGCACAGCACTACGCTCAGTCAAGCCAGCTCCTGTTGGCAGAATAGTCATGCTTGCAGGCTCTCTGCTATACTATTTTCATGTTGCTGCTTGGTTATTTTAAGATGTTACCAAAGCGCCAAATAATTAGATGTACAGAAATTGGGAAACTTTACTTTTACTTCCCATTTTACAAAAGCGTTAAGAGTCAGAAAATAAGTACTAAATTCTAAAAGCATCTTTTATGTAATTCTGTACACCTATTTATTTAATTAAATAACATATTAATAATAGTAACATATTAAACATTCATCTCTTGCAATTAGACTAAGAAAAAAAGGCAGGTAGATTTGTATGTGGTTGGTCTGTCAAGCATGGCTTCTTGAAGGTTTCTCCTTAAAAATTAAAGAACATGCTTATTCACTTACGGTCTGTGTGACTGAAGGCTTTGTATTCAATATAGAACCCTCTGTGTGTGACCAATTCATCAGAATGGAAGTTGATCGTGACAGAATAGCCATATTCCCTGTTTCTGTTGTTTTCTGAAAGAGCTTTACAGTATCTAGCAAGGCAAAAGTGAGAATAATTAATTTCTATCCAAACTGATCATTTTCACCCAGCTACCTCTTTTACTGAAGGGCACTGACGCCAAAAAGCTTTAAAACAACACAATCAAGATAATCTATTTTTTTAGTGTTAAAGCTGCCCAACAGAAGTATCAGAAAGCCTATTTACAAATGCCTCCCACTCCACAACTTTTATTGGACTAGCAGACTTTGAAAGCAAGACGATTAATGTCAGGATCTACCTTATAAATACAAACGACTTCTAAGCATGTTTGATTTCAGATTTCCCATTTAGGTTTGTAAAATCAAAAGGCTACAAATCCAGTAATGGGATCATACAGGCAAATTCAACTGGTGGTGTCTGTTTCCATACACTCCTTCCAAGAGACAAATCATTCTGAAACCTGTTTTGGTTTTTTAAGCACATGTATTGCAATTTGAGTTATTTACAGAAAACAATTTAAATCACTGAAGAGTAAGTGATATAGAAAATGAAACTTCAGATGACACGGGTTCTTTACCCATGTCAAGATCATTGCCAGGAATTTACAGCTCAACTGCAGTTGCATAAAATCCTGCAGCTTTCTTTATCATTGCTCTTAAGACAAACAACAAAGTGAGCAAATGCCTAACACTGTAGAAAAAACAGGATGCTTAAATTAACATAATGACAAGTGTTCGGTACGAGGGTGTTAAGAACATTATTCTGCTGAAATTCAGTGGAAACATGCCAATTCTTGTTGGCATGTATCATCTTTCTGCACTGGAAGAAACACTTCCAGTTTCAACTTCCAGTTCAATGCCATTTTCTTAAGTACAGTATGTTGCGCAGAACATCAAAGTGCAAAAAAATATATCAGAAAATAGCATATTTACTCACCTAACCCCATCAATTTCTAACCAGTCTTTATCACATTTACTGGACCCTGGAGACTTCTCTTGAATTTGTATTACAAGGATCTTTAATGAGAGCTTGTAACCAGGCAATGGTGCCTAAAAATAAAATGATAAATATCCTGACTGACACATCCACAAAATGAGAAGACCTGTGCTTTTAAGATGGCAAATCTTGTTTTACTTATTATCAGATAACGTACTGTGAAATACTGCACATTTATGATGCAAATCAGCACCTTTGTAGAACCAAAAAAAAATAATGCTATTTTAAATAAGTATAGAAAACTTTTTAGACCCAACCTTGGCCATACCGTGCCATATACATTAGTATAAGCCATCCTGCAGCCACTCTGAGGTTCATGCTGTGTTTGTACTGCTGTATGTTCCAGTATGTTATGTTAGTTTAAAGCATCTGTGGTAGCTGGTAGGCACTCAACTGTATTAGTTACCATCTCTGTTTTAATAAGCCTTTTTCTTCCCTTTCTAGCACATAAGTGAGAGTTTTATTGTACAAGCTGCTAATAATTTCCACTGAGCAGGCAGAAGATAGTGACTGTTACCAACTCAAAGACAGGAAGAATATCCTTTTCCAGGGAAAGTCAAATCAGTAGTAAAAAGCTTAATAGAGCAACAGCTAAGCACACCAGGAAGTCGGTGGAAATCATGAGTAGATTCTATGTCCTGCCAAAGGGGTGGCTGGAAATCCAGAGCTTAAATTCTCAGCCAGAGAAATTCTGTTTCTGCAGAATTGGGGGAAATACAGTGCAGTATCCATCATATGAGGCATGATTTACGTAACCATTTTTTCCTTCTGACATAGAAGTAAAGCTCTGATTATTGTCAATTTGCTCTGGCTGCTAGGAATTGCCATCTTACCCACCACCTTGTTTCTGTCATGAATAATAACCTTTTGGAAGCTGGCAATGTTTCAGTCCCACAGCTGACACTTTTACACAGAACAGGAAAGAAATGGGTGCCTGAGAAGAAGTCAGGTGCAGTGGTATTAGTACATTTTCCCTTCATTACAACCACATGGAAAGTCATTTCTCCCAATTTTATGTCTAAATCACAGAAAGCGAAATCATCACTACTCAGAAGAGTTCCCAGCACTTACTCTGATGATCCAGCTGCAGTCGATGTTTGGTGGGTAGTAACTTGGGTAATAAGGAGAACTCAGTGTCCCGTTCCAGGAAATATAATGACCACCACACACTGGGGGAGAAATACATCAGCAAGGAACACAGCTACCCCAGCTAGGCTAAAGTGCAGAGCCTACTCCACTTGGTAGGACCCTTCTCTACGTGCAGAGTTAGAAGAATGAGTTGTGACCATGTTAAACTCAGGTTTTGCCTATATTAACAGAAAATCATTTAACTTCCACCTCCCCATCTCTCTGAATATCTCTTATTTTTGGATCAAATCACAGTTAAGGATAAGCACAAAACACATCTGACTGGAGGTTTTTAAAAAATATTCTTTGATAGTTAAGTGGAAGAGGCAATTAAATGCAGACACAACAGACCTCCCCCTTCCAATTCACTTCTGACCTTTCTGTAGGCATTTTCAAAAATTAGAAAACAATCAGTCCAATCAAATGAAACTTCTGATTAATTTCACGTAAACCAGGATGTTGGTGTGTCAGTACTCAGTCTGAGAATTCATGCCACATTTGAACAATATCTTTGAGGTTTTATTTTCTACCAAGAACTCTCCTAGATATCCAGCCCTTAGTGCTTTTGGTTTGCTTTAGGTAATACAGTGAATGAAAGTAGGAATATAAAAGAAGTAAGACAGTTTTGAAAATAGCCAAATTTTATTTCAAAACCTGGGCTAGGCATAATTTGGAGTGTCCATCTTCACCACAATGAAGCAATTCTATTTTTTTAATGTGCATGGGAAGAGTATTTGATTAAGCAGCATCCCCAGAAACACAAGCTGAAAAGTGCAAGCTTTGTAAAAGTTTATCCACATGCTATATGATTTATTCCACAAGTTAAAAAATAGTCACGTGCTTGATTTTTAAAATTCTTTCACTTAGACCTTACCAAATAACTGTGGCTGAGCTTTCACTTGTGAAGCTCCTATATCTCCTGTAAAATACTATGGTTTATCATTATTCAAAATATTTCACTAATCACCCAGAACTCCTGCAAAATTCATAGTGCTCCATAGGTCTGGAATATATTTCACAGGTCTTGAATGCACTTTTCTTGTACAGTTATCTACATGGAATAGTGCTTTCAGAAAGGATCAAAGTAATATCAGAAATAAATGTTTGCTCTTGTTTTTCATTTTCATTAAACATGCATTTCCAGAGCTGAGATAGATTGCCAAAAATGACGATAGTGCTGCCTTGTCACTGGGACTATCTGGCTTTGGCTACACATAGAGTGATATCTGGCTGGCTGCTCTGCTACCATTGCTCATGAATAACAGTGCTACCTGTGTAGTAAGAGTAATCTTTGGGAAAGATGACTTGGGTAGTAACCAGGAAGACAAAAAATCTCCCAAACTAAAAGATATTCTCTATTCCCTGTTCAGTTCTCAGCTTTTTTTTTTTTTTAAGTGGGTCAGAATGACAATTCCCTGACTTATATGCCAACATTCCCTCCCCCAAGATACGTTCAGGCAATATCAACTTTTTTAGCGGCAACAAAAGGAAAAAGTACATTTACATCAGATGGTTGTTTCTATGAATTACTTACTGATTTTAGGAATTGCTTGAAAGTGAGCTTTTAATATGTTGCTTTCTTCTCTTCTGTCCAGTGAGAAAGTAAGCAACATTACATTACTTGACGAAGTTAAACGTACAACAGGAGTCCAGGCCCCAGGTCCACACCATCTAAAATACGACAAAAATTGCATTTAAAAAAAACCAAAAACGTTTCCCACATTCCAGTCATCTTTGCTGAGAAACTGATCTGGTCATCTGTGTTTCAGAAGCCTTCCCCTCGCTACCACTTCCCTTTTAGTCTTCCACTCAGTTAATAATACACAAGAGTTTCCTAGCGTTGAAGCTGAGTCACTCAGGGTGAACATCACAGACATTCTTGCCTAACTGGGCAGAAAAGGAGTGCCAGATTACGTTACTTCAGCAGTGATAGTGGAGGGTAACACTGAAAAAGCAACAAGGGCCAGTCTAGCAGTGCTGTGCAGCATCTATGCAACAGAAAATGAACCCAAAGCTTTTCCAACCTATTAACATTCAGCTTGGTTTCATGCCACAAAAGCTGTCACACATGATGTGGAGCCCCATGCATGGCAACTATTTCTTCTTATTGTTCTTCTTTTGTTCCAAAAGAGTTAACATGTCTTGAAGCTTGAATACTTACTATCACTTGTAGTTTGAGATGCCATTTCTCGCATCTATAAATTCACTCATACATATTCCATTTTGAAATGCACAACTTTTTTTTATGTCTTTTCATGAGTTTACATCTCTAGGTGTGAAAGATTTCTAACAGCTTTTTCCATGCACAGCAAATTAAAGCAATTAAGATCAGACCTTGCAGTAAGAGAGTATTTCCATCACACCCCTGCAACAAGTTCTTTGACTTGTCACTGAGATCCAGAGTGACAACATGAAAATTAAATTTTTGAACCTTAAACTGAAAGTAACCATCTTCTGCTTTTAGCAGGCTATTCCCTGCTTCCATTTCATGCGAGACACTACACAATGGATCTGTGGCTTTATTCTCTTTTGTAGAGATTGTTAAATCCTTTGTATCATAATACCTGTCAAATCCTTTATACAATGAACAATTTGAGTCCCCTCCCCACTGCCATGTGAAATCTTTCACCATCTTGATCTTCTACCCCGTTGACAGCCTGACTTATCTTCTGGCTGTACCATTTGTCACAGTATCATCAGAAAAGCAAGACAAGCACATATAAGAGTTGTTCACATGAGATTCTTGCTTTTACAGTACATTTTGTAACCTAAAATCTCAGCTCTCTTAGTCTTTAATATTTGTCACTGAACAGCAGTGTATTACTGCAGTTTACAGAAACTGGTGAGAATTATTTTACTCACCATGTGGATTCCTAGACCTGGATGTCAGGCTATAACACAATTGCTGGCTGTCATGGACATCATGCATCTGTCCTAAGTATGTGACTAGCTGCTTCTATCTTAAGTAGAAAACTGATAGACACATGCAAAAAGACACATTTGTTAGGCTGGCATCAAAAATAACCAAAAAAGTCAACTTTTTGGAGGTACCATATGCTTTTATCATCATTTCAGTTACCAAATTCTGTTCCAGTTCTTTGATAGCTAGACATCAACGCACATTCTTGAAATTTGTCTTAAAACTTACTGCACCAATGTTTTCTGAACGTTGTATCTTACACCTGTGGTGGTTTTGCTAGCTTCCTGGTTCTTTCATATGTGTGGCCAACTCTGTATTTCTGGTTCTTAAAAAGCTAAACCTTTGCTAATAGTGCGTAATAGACTAAGAGTCCTGGCAATAACCCATAATCAGGAGCAGAGCAGATGCAGTCCAGCATCAGGAATGGGATTCTCCATGTTATGCTACAATCTGAGTCTAACTCCTTACAAAAACACTGTGTTCACTCCATTCCTGTCCTTCTGACAGGGTGCCAACAGTGGCAAGCTCTTGTGATTTGTTGCATAAGGAAGAGAAGTCTGTTAATAGAGATGAAGATGACCACCTACTCATTTCAAGTAAGTTAAGCACTACTAAATAAATATGTTTCAGACACTGCTAAATGAATCTGCATGCTCTGCTAGTCTCTCTGTAAAAGTTCTTAAAAAAAAAAAAAAAAAATTCCACCCTTGAAACTATCCATCCTTGGATTCTAAAACTTGTTTGTTTATTTTGTTAATGAAGACAGGTTCATGGTGGATAACACGTCCATACATGAAATTTGACTCTGAAAAGTGGGAGCAGCGTGGCCACTGGAGGTTACAAGATCGTCTGTGATCTTACTTATGCAAACAGATTACACAGTGACTCTGGGGATGGAGCCTTCCATAGACACAAAACCCCTGCTATGAGCAAGGATTTGTCTGTGACTGGATTGTTATAAAACATGTGTTTTCTAAAATAGAATAAAATCGTCTAAAAATATTACACTATGTATCTTTTTGAGTTGTGACAGTAAATGCATGAAATCAAAACCAGTAAAATTTAGTCATAATGTAGAACAAAACCCACAGGAATTTATAATTCATTAGAGGGTGGGAGGGGATAACATGGAAGATCTTTCTATAGTCTTATACAAGATTTTTAATCGAGTTGTATTTGGAGTCTTACATTTTGGAAGCCTGTTTGATATCATTTTGATATCAAAATCAGAGTTTCTGTACAGCTCAATAAAACACCTTTGTTCTCTATTATCATACCTTGTAATGATCTTGTTCTGCAGAGGAAGAAGGAAATCATATGCTGACAAGTGGTGCGATGCACAGCTCTCTGGAGTGACACCATGCCAAGTGATAACTACCAGTCTCACCACATAGTTAGAAGGAACTCGCAGCCTCCATTGATAAAAAGACTTTTTGGGATTCATCAGAGTTAGAGTCCTGTTGTTACCTGGCTTGGCATACAGGTCAAAGGATACTGCTATACAAAAGAAACTAGATCAGTGGCTGAAAAACTGTTAAGTTGAAAGATAATTAAATTATTGGGTAAAATTTCAGAAGAGGCGGCAACAATTGCCTACCCACACTTCTTGACTAGTCTAATCTCCTCTTCCCTTACCTTTACAACTCTACTCCCTTTTCCCTACCAGGCTGCATCATGTTCTCCTCCTGCTCTGGCCAAGGAAGCACAGCACCTCACCACCATTGGCTCGTCATAAACTCGGCAAGCAGAAGGGAACTTGGCTGCAGCTACTACCATCTCTGCTTGAAACCCACTGCTTCCTTTGCCATTTTCTCTTCAACCCTCTCCAGACAATGAGAACACTAAGAACATGAAGACAATCTTGAAGTAGGCTTGATACAGAGAAACCAGGCAACGTGAATTAAAGCTCTGCAGTATTTGACTGATCACAAACTATGAATAACCAAAATTATCTAGTCATAAGGCAAATAAATTATGTATAATTTTATATAGTAGCTTTTTTAAAGATGCCAAGAAAAGAAGGCACGGCTCATTACAATGCAGTGGGAACTATTAAATTTCAACCATTCTAGTCAGAACATCAGAATAAAAGTTCTGAGACATTTCCATCTCAGCCTTTATTTGAAGCACAGGCCAGAGAGGTCCCTAGTCTGGTTTAGTTTGTAGGCCCGACAGATAAAAGGGTAACAGGGAAACTGCCATTTTTATGTTACAGGATTTTTTTTGCATAGTGATATTAATTGGGACTGAAGAATAATTACCTGATTTTAGCATCGTATCATATTCTGTGGAATCTGAAACTGAAATTTAATAACTATCAGCTACACAAGCCAAAGAAACAAACTGGAGAAAGAAAAATAGCCAGAATAGGTATTAAATGACAGGTACATTGTTACCAAAAAGCTCCATTGTAACGAGATCAAAATCTTCCTCCCCAGAAGAACTGAACACGTGAGCTGCTTGTTTACTACTGATTTCTTTTTGTTCCACTGGGGTTATTTTTTTAAGAGCAGTAACCACATTTTGTGGTGCCCAGAAGGTATTCCAGTAGTAAGCTCGCAGTCCAGACTCTCCTTCACTGTGGAGGGGGAAAAATGCATCATGAGTACACTCCAATTATTATTTTGGACATGTTTTCCACTGGTCTGTACTTTTGGCTTCCACAACTCCATAGACAGTTGATCTGCTATGTAAAAAGTTACAGCTGAATACAGTGGCAAAAAGCTCTCTTGTTTAACAATTGTTTATCCGTACAGTAGAAATATTTTAAAAATATGCTGCTTAAACAGTAACACGTTGAGGTTGAAAATTGCACTTCACAGAAAATCCTTGCTATCCTTTTTATGGAATTGGATGTGTCCATCCCTGCTACATAATTATACACTTTTAAGGCAACATCACAGTTCTAGACACATTTTCCTTAACATTTTTAATTGAGTCTCACACCATATGACAATATCATTTTAGGCCTGTACATTGATACAACATTTCACACAATTCTTGTTAAAATAAATAATGTGTATGTGCGCATATACAAAGTATTATTTAAGTGATTCAAAGAGACAGCTAATCACACCCTTCCTTCCAAAAAGACCTATGGGCTGACCTCCCAGATGTTTTCAAAGCCTGTCGGGATAGTGCTAGCCATCTGCTCAATGTATTTACAGTGTATTACTACTTTACTTAAGCTCCTGGTGAGAAATCTTAAAGTGCTCTACCCAAAATTATACCATTAAGTTTTGTCTCGAGGAGTTAAAAAGGAACTTCATTTAAACAGACAAAACCAAAATAAGATTCTGCAAATGTTAGAGAAAAATCCTGCTGAACTGTGATTTCAAAAGTTAAAAGTAGATGAATATATTAAAAAGCAATCTCTAAACCAAGGCACAATTAATCAGACTTAATTTTTCTCCCCAATTCTACAGGGCGAGACAGAAATCACACTACTAGCTTAGCTCTTAGCTCAAATACTTAATTTCTGCAGTTTTCATTCTCTATTATAGAGATGTGCATAATTTCCCAGATAACTAATTTTAAATGCATGAAAAAAAGATAAGACAAACACAACAATACCTCAAACATATACCATATTCTAGAATGGTACCTACCTGAAAGCAACCACTACAGACTTCCAGTAGTACTTTCCCAAGGAGGAAGACTCATATGTTTCTGCAAACTGACAGTTAAATAACAGTAAAAGAAAATGTAAAGCATTACATTTAGTGTCAATATCTCTTTAGTGTCATTCTCTTATGCTAGAAAGTATCTGTTTTTCTTCCTTTCCTTTTCCTTGACCTCCCATATTATAAGCACTGTCCATCATTTTCATAAAATGTATCAAATAAACATCATAAATGGGCATTCATTTCCACTAATATATATATATATATATTTTTAAGCCACATCACATTTCAAGACCATTGAGATAGTTCTTGTTAATTAGCCATGAAAAAAGAAACCTTTATGAGTACATTTATACTTTTGTTTCAGTCTTCAAATTTCTGGCATATAATCTGGACATGAGCAACTTGTATTGGCTGTGCACAAAGCAGCTTTGAGACACTAGATTAGCTCTTCTGGGAAATACAGGGTAACAGAGAACTGCTTTGTGTTTAAGACTGCTGTTCACATGTGCCCAGGAAACAGTATTGATCTCACAAATAGGAACTCACATAAGAAGTGCAAGAAAGCAAGCATTGTTGTGGGGAACAAGGGAAAACAAAACAAAAAGTTAAACACTGAATTAGAGCTATAATTTAAAAAAAAAAAAAAAAAATCAAAGAAAAATGTAACAAGGAAGAGTGCTTCAGTAAAGTAAAACAAAACAAAACGCAAATTCCTTTAAGAGGAAATATTTACCTATAACCTTGAAACCTCCAGGTTTTATTACCTAGAAAATGTTAACTCTACTGTGATACCCACAGCTTCAGCTGTCCAGCTGCATTCCTAAAGATGTACATGGCCGAAACACGTGCTAGATTTAAACTTAGTATTTTGGAGGAAAAAAAATTGTGAGTAACTGTAGTCTTCTCCTCATTCCCAGTTTGATTCTGTCATAAATATATATTGTTATACTTATGGGGGAACTTACATAATTTTGGATTGCTTCTGCTTGCAGGAGGAACTTCTGTGACTTTGGATCATTGAGATCATTTGTATAAGTCAGATTTGGAATTTCTACACTTCCACCAATATAAATAAAAGAAAAAGCTGGAGCTGACAAAAAAGGATAAAAAAAATTAGCACACCTGAAAACATTACAGAAAAGCTTCTGGAACAAGAAGTTTGTAGAAGCATGTATTTGTCCTTGCCATCTGTAAATATTAGTTCCTACGAGAAATATGCAGTAACAGCCAGAATGCTGTGTCAGTCCCATTAACAAAATAATGCCCAGAAGGAAGGGAGAGGAATGAGGTACAGGTTCAAACAATCATTTTTACTAGGAAGCTTAGTGGTTAAACTTCCATTTTTTTGCAGCACTACCCTCCTAAAGAGATACTGTTATAATGGCTATTTGTTGAGATCTGGGAAGGAACGTACATAAGTTAAGTAGCCATCCTCTTTTGGGGAAGTGAATAGAAGGTAGACAGTTAATTCCTGTAGGTTCTTAGGAAAGATGACAGTTATAATAATGATGGTTATTCACAAGCAGAGATAAAAAATTTAGACATAAAATAAATACCTTCATTATTCTTGTGCAACTACCAACTGCTAGTTATTATGCATTTTATTGCTTTAGCAAGGACATTAAGGAGAAGGCAAAGTCAGTAGTTTATACACACGGTACATGCTTAGCTGCTTAGTGCAGAACTTTTCATACTAATCATTCACACAGTGCAAGAAAAAACATCCCATCCAGACTATACTGGGGAGTTACACTTACAGAAGGAATAGTGCAGGACTAGCACGATTACCGTCACTATTAAAGAACTTATAGGTAATATTCCTAGAAGCCATCTCTTCCAGGAACACAGCCTTATCCAGTTGAAAAAACAGTACTTCTGATACAAGCCTTCTAGGTAGGATGGGCAGTAGCGAGTACACGGACTTTCCTAGAGAAAGACATGGGAAAGCATCAATTAGTAAGACAACACAAGAAGAGCTATTGTACTACATTTTAGTATATTTATCCTTTTAATTTTTAAAAAGGTTTCAATTGAGATAACATATTTCATGTTATCAGCTATGTCATACATGAAACCCAAATGTTTGCAACATGCATTTTGAGCTAGGTAAATGGGGGGAAAAATTGCTATCGTTTTGGTTAGGAACAATTTGCAGATGAAGAACAGAGGTCAATACACACCACAGTGGGCAGAGAGATCATTTACTGTGTATCTGCTATAAAGCTTAGCTGCTGTCTCTTACCTGCCTTGCAGTCTGCTCAGAGTCATATGGAGCTGGTATGCTGTACACAGAAACCCGGCTGGAAGGGAAAGCCCCTATCATGATGCCTTGACAAATGCCTTCTGACAACTCTAATAACAAAGTCCCGAATTAATCTCATTTCTTAAACATAACCCAGAATAGCACACTGGTCTCCCCGCCACACACACCAGGCTTCTCTCGTTTTGCCTTTGCCATACTGCTTGCAGCTGATCTGCAATCAAAGAAGGTGGGAAGGAAAAGTTACCGGCCCTGTAACTCTTTGTTTCCCGAACTGGCTAAGTAGGATACGGATCCCATCATTTGAAAACAGATCAGTTACCTCCTTCTTTCAGAAATACAAAAATAGGAGATAATTTACGACACCAAGCAAAGGACATTCAAGCAATTTACAGGTAAAAAGTCCCAGAGCAAGGCAAATGAAGCAGCTTCTAATGAAGTTGCTGGAATCTACAGAAATATTTATGAGAGAGAAGAAATGCGCAGTTGCACAGACCACCTGAATTTTCCAACCTCAAGCTGGTCCCACAAAAAAAAAGGTAACTGCAAAGCAATTCACATTCACATTTCCTGTTCGGAATTAAAAACAGTTTTAAGTCAGCAAGCCAACAAGTTCAGGGTATTCTACATGCAAAATAAGAAAATCAAGGATGTGTGTGGGTAAATAAAATACTTTATACCTGTTGGGGGGAGAGAGAGAGTGTGCATGTGCTCAAAGAACACAACCTGGAAAAAGAAAAGACGCCCAAGAAACCTCAGCTCCAGAAAACAGAAGAAAACCCCCAAAAATCCCAACACCAATCATATGGAGACTACAAAAGGGATTAACTGGAAGGTAATCCTTACAGCTCAGGAATACAAACTATAACTGTATATAGACTGCTTTGTTCAAGTCCTTTTTTTTCCGATAGCTTATTTCCCCTACATACACAGACTGCTGATTGACTGATGCTTTGCCTCCTTCCTTCATGGAAAAGAAACCCACAGAAAAAGCCTAGAGGAAATAAAACCTCTTTTGCATTACCTCTAAAAGTTATATCAGGATTTTTTAAAAACTATATACAGTCAGAGACTGAATTCCATCTCAGTTTAAAATACTTCTCAGAGGGTAGAAACATCAGTTTTATTTGGGCATGGCCAAGATCATTGCAATAACACGTCATGATATTTACTCATTTTGTTAAGGTTGCCTGCAGGTAAAGAATTCAAATTCTCAGGTGGATGAACTGCAAAAATCTTGAATATGGGGAAATTAAGGCAGGAAATTAAAGAGTTGGCGTATCCAAACCATGCTGTTAATTAAAATGGAAGCTGGAGAAGGAATGAGACTAATCCTCTCTTCCATGCTTAACTGCAGGACTTCTGATCTCTAGAAATGAGAGCCCTATGGATTTGAGAAAATTGAGTTCACAATTCCTTTCTCTCTGTCAGCTGTTCTTGCTGGAGGAAGTAGGGAAAGTAGGGTTGGCAAGAGTACTAACTGTCAATTGTCACTTCATAGTTCCTACTGTATTGGGCCGTGTATATCTCAGAGGAAATGACTAAGTCTTAAGCTCTGTCTCTAGGTCATCAATTGTATCTTTAGCTTCCTAATAGATGATTGTACATGCATTTAGTAGGTGCTGGGAAAACAAACACTAAGTCCTAGAAGTTTAATATTGCTCCTCCTCCTCCTAGGTCTCCATACACACAACAACCACCACAAGATCATGCTCTTCCTCTTTCACCAAGGTTTAAACAAAGGGTATTTGCTACTTCCGTATGTGTACTCCAGAATCAAATATTGTGTCACAAGGAGACGTGCAAAGAAAATCTACCACTGAACAGTTTTATCAAATATGTTTTTTAATGAAGATGTACAGGACATGTTTTTTTCCAGCAAAACACTTTTCAAGTTACAAGACTGAAGGCACATATTTGTGAATCCATGGTGCGAAATTTGACACTCTTGTGTAGACACCAGGAAAATTTGGTCTTCCACATCCATAACCCCAGCTAACAATGCCAGTCAAAAACCATTTTCCATCTCCGTTGCTTTGACATGACAGTGGTCCACCAGAATCACCCTAAAAAGAATATATTAAGTTGTATGTGTTTACAATACAGATTGTTAAAACTGAGACAAAATTTCACTGAAGAGGTTTTGCCTGAGTAATTCTAACAGTGATTATATTTTCCCATTCACATAGTTTGAACCATCAGATAGACAACAGGGTGGATTTTTTCTTGAAGTAAACAGGGCTACACAGTTGTACCAAAGTTTCACAAGAGAGAATGCTAGCTCTCACTCTTCAAAGACACTAATAAAGATCTTATATTTCATGGACTAGGTTTAAAACTCATAACTGGCTTACTAGCCTCAAACTTAGAGCTAACCCCAAAATCTGCTACTTAATACACATGTTCATTTACAGGTCACACACCTAAAGTAAAAAATAGTAAACTTCTTAAGGAATTAAAAATTAAAATACAATTACAGTATCTAATCATGATATAACTTCTTTCAAGTTAAAAGTAAATGGAAACAGAATGGATCCCTCAATTGATTTGAGGAAAAGGAAGGAAAAAGGAAGGAAATTAAGCCCAAAGCATTGTCCTCTAGTAGATACGAGCCAGCAGGTAATGTTTAGGAGCACACAATGTCTTTGTAATTAGGACAGTTAAAATGAGGCCTGCTATAGACTTCAAAACTTTATGCAGCATGGCATAATCTTGTAATAAAAGACAATGCAAATAGCATTCTTCTTTTATATGGCATTCTTGTAGAAATATATTAGCAGATGCTCAGGAAAAAAAATAAAAGTACCACCATTTCTGGAAAATCTCTTGGACCAAGCTTATACTTTCTTGTAAGACTCTGCTGTAGACACAATCTATCCGAACAGACAGCTAGTAGCAAATTAAACTTTGCTGAAACATTAGATGCAACACAGGAATTCCAAAAGCAAAAAGTGAATTGGTAAAACTTAAGTGTTTTTCAAGAAAAATGCCTTCCTTCTAGACATATATTTTGCTTTGACTTTATATAATCTTAGGATATGCAGATTGGAAGAGATCCCAGGAGATGACCTAGTAAAGCCAACTGCTGTTCAAAGTAGGATTATCTTGAATTGCCTCATAAAATTGTTAAAGATTTAATTTAGAAGATCATTTTTCCATCCTTAATAATTAAGATTTTGCATTTGGAGTCCAATTTTCAACTTTTTTCTTTAATTTGTAGGACAAAAGAAAGGTGGAACACCAGCATTTTTCACAGTACCGAAATCTCACATTTCAATCAGCTCTAACTGCCAGAACACAGTCACACATCATTTGCCCTTACAGAAATGCAGCCAAAAGACCTGTAAATTATGCCTTTTCTTGGCTTTTGAGTGGCCAGACAGATAGCTGCAGAAACTAATTCTCCAGTTAGTGAAAATTACACTCAATGTCAATGGCCTTGCTGATCTCTAAAAAGCAGCTGGTGTGTTTTGCTCCCTCAGGAAGCCCTCAGAGCCACTGTGGTCTCTCTCACTTTTATGTAGACCAGTGAAATAGACAATCTTGAAGATGCCAGATCTCCATCATAAAAAATAACAGTTTTACTACTATTTTAGCAGTAAATTTACTACCATTTTACTAGTAAATATATATGGTTTACATAAGTTCTATATAATATAGCATAGTATATATTACACAACATATCTAAAATGTGATGTTATATAAATATATATATAGTGTGTATATATATAGTTTTACTACTATTCACGAGAAGTAAATTCAGAACTTCATGTTTATCATCTTTCAGCATTGCAAGATCAGAATATTATACGTTTGAAAATTTATGCCTAGTAGCCTGTATCTCATCAGATAACCCTGGAGGTGTTGAAAAGGGGTGAACCTGAAAAGAGCCAAACTAGTGTTTGGGGTTTTTTTCTTCTACTGGGACACTTTTGTGCTAAAAATTGCCTGACTTCAACTTACTATTGGGACTTGCAAATTGACTGGTCCTTGACCCAGAACTGAAACTTAGTCACGCTACTCACGCATATAAAGCGGCAAAACTGTGAAAACACTTAGATGACAGATTTGCTGACAGAGAACTCTTACATTGTTGTTTTTCAGAACTGAAGTGTATGGACCACAAAGTGGTCTGCCAGTCAGTCTGTACACCTCATCACGACAGACAAGATAAGCCACATGCAAAGTGTGCTGAGATACATACTTTGCATCCATCTCTTTTCCCATTCATTAGACCAGCACAAAACATCCTAGCTGTGATAATTCCATATGTGGAATGACATAACGTTTGGTCAATGATTTCTACTTCTGCTTTCTGAAGAATTGCTGAACCTTCATCATCTGGAAAAGAAATTGAAAGAAAGATGATTCAACAGAGCTTAACATTTTACTCATCTATTGAAATGCAAAGCAAGAAGTAGTCAGAAAATATCCACAGATACTTTTGACCTCCAAGTTATTCCAGATTCCAAATAACTAATTGCAACAGCACAGAAAGCCTTTTCTAAGTATCGGGCATTTGTGTAATATGATCATGGTCCTTCGGCCGCACCAAATACAATGGCATAATCACTAGGGTTGGCCAAAATCTTTTTCTAATTCCTTTTGCAAAACATCTCAGTATTTCTTAATTTTTTCTACTTTTATTTCATGAGGAAATGGGGTTTTACAAGGAATTTGTATCATTACAAACGATACAAATAGATTTGCTATTAGGGTGGTGTCTCTGAAGGTGCTGGATCCTGAATAAAAATTATGAGTCAGTTACAGAATGTGAATTCCTCTTTTGGCAGCATAAAGAACTTGGACGAATCTCAAAGTTTGGTCCTTTCTGTCTGAAAGTTTTGGTAAAATACCTCTTTTTCAGCCTGGAGAAGAGGAGGTTGAGGGGAGACCTTATTGCTCTCTACAACTATCTGAAAGGAGGGTGTAGAGAGATGGGGATCGGTCTCTTTTCTCAAGTCACAGGCGACAGGACAAGAGGAAATGGCCTCAAGTTGCGCCAGGGCAGGTTCAGGCTGGATATTAGGAAAAATTTTTTCACTGAAAGGGTTATCAGACATTGGAATGGGCTGCCCAGGGAGGTGGTTGAGGCACCATCCCTGGAGGTGTTCAAAAGACGGGTTGATGTAGTGCTGGGAGGTAT